TATCTAAAGGATTCAAACACCAATTTTAGTAGTCTGGATGAGGACCGATGTTTGGTAAGATGCTATACTAACCAGACTACTAGACAAGTAACTGGAGGAAAAAGACCCAACTGTGGAGACCAGGAGCAGGTCACAGCCTCTCCAGACTATCTGGATTGGAAGTTTAGGTTTCTGACAAAACTTAGGTACCAATAATAGTCTGTAAAGTGTATACAGAGGTTTGGGTGAACTCTGCAAGGGCAAAAGTAGGTAACAGCGGCTTTGGCTTACAAGTACTTGTCCTCAGACTCAGTATAAGTTACCGAAGTCTAGGTTAGCCAGATAGTGGGTATGGAAAGCTTTAGCTAACGAAGCCTCAAGGATAAATTAGTCCTAAGGGTATCGGGAAAGCATCTGGGACTTCTTACGACAGGTAATTGTAGCAGTGAAATATCAGTGATACAAGCTAGGTCTGCATATAAATGTACTGAGGTTTCATAAATGAGCTTCTTACCTATAAACTTGAATAAAAACCATAGTCCCAAAGAGGCTAGTTATAAAAAAAAAAAAAAAAAAATTGATATCAATATGTTATATAGAGATTTTTATTCATATAACATAAAACTTTGTAATATATCAAATTCCATAGTTTGCTCACATAGTTTTGATTTATTTAGTTGAATTACCACCTTAGTATATATTGTTATAGGGTTATAGCCTTCTTAATAAAATACAACCAAGTAACAAGATTATCTGATACAGTGATTAACTATTGCAAATATATACAAAGTAAAGGCGTAGTTGTTCACTTAACTACACAGCAGCAGACAAATAGTTTGAGATAATAACAGTATATAAGATAGCTTTATTTAATACAAGAATGGTGATAAGCCTTGCCTGTAGAAATTACTCTAGAGAAAGAATATCACACTTTACAAGATAAGAAGAATTAAAGGATATCAGAGTCTAAGCGAAGTATAGAAACTTAAGAATTGGCAGAAAGAGGGAAAAGACATACTTTATATATCTTTTCTGCCCAAAGCAAAGATACACAGTGTGCAAGAGGAAATTGGAGGATGAGTAACATTAGTGAAGGAAGTTAGGGGATTGTGTTGAGGTAAGTTAGGGGATTATACTGGGAAAGTTAGAGGATTGTACTAGAAGAAGTTGAAAAATATAAATATTACTAGATTTGTTTATATTTATTTATTGTTTGTGAAGAAAAACCTGGAAAAAGAGAACCTGAAAGACTTTGCAACATGATTGAGGCTTGCGACATGGTATCTTGTATTCAAAACACTTAGGATTTCATATGACTGAATCTGAAGGATTCCGTGTAGATGAACTTGGGGGAAATTGTGTTACTCTTTTGTGATATCTTTTGTGTAATCTAAAGTACTCTTTTGTATAACTTTATATCACCTTAAGTTATATGAGGTCATGTGACTGCGCTATACTTACACTAGCCAATCAAATTATTCCTATATATCAACTATAAAATTATTATCTAATATAATATAATAATATACAATACTGTATAAGAATATACTAAATATAACTAAGAAAAGGGTGTGGTGACTTAGAGTAGTAGTTAAGTTGTCACCTCCCAAGTGGCAGGTCTAGAGTTCAAATTTCATCAGAGATGTTTTTAGAAAAATAGATCTGTATACCAGTAACAATTATTCAACAATTGGTTGGGTATATCATCTGTAATCCTGGTACTACCATCTCAAAATAGAAGCTCTTGGGTGATCCAAATCCAAGGAACCAAAATAATTAAAACCCGTTTGGCAAAACCTAAGTAAGAAGATAGTGACGATTTTCGACGATACTGTGGAAAGTCAGAAACCGAAAACCAAAAAACCGGACAAAAATCCTGATGCAAGAAGAGTCCACCAACCTGGCCGTCAGAGTCACATCAGAGGAAAAGGTCCTATGCTACAGAATTAGAAACCAAGGAAAGTAAAACTGGAAGGTACTTAAAGCCTAAATATAACAACCCATCTGGGCTAATTGGTTTGGTAGTTGGAGAGGGATCGGTATAAGAATCGGCTTGATATAGATATCAAGATAGGAATGAACTTTGCAAGAGCCAGGAGTTCGGTGATGTGGCTTGCTCATAAAGGTTTAAAACCTATCCTGTGAACCTATCTGCAGAAAGAATTGGTGATGTGGCCTGCCTGTAAAGATATAGAACCTATTCAGCAAGACTTATCTGAAAAAAATTAGGTAATACGGTAATAGTGAATACCAGACTGATCTAGCAGATAATACACTTGAAGATGAATCAGTTAACCATGCCGATAGTCCTATAGGTAACTTATAATGATCTTGGAACTTGGACTGACTTATATATCGCATGTTTTGGGTGAGATTAAATAGATTGGTATAGGAAACTCAGATCAGAAAGTTTAATTAGATAATTTAAATAATAGTGGATTACAGATACGGTATTTAATGTAGAACCTAGTAATAAGCAGACTACTTAAATTAGGTGCTCAAAAGGTGCAGGTATAGCTAGAATGTACCCTTGTCAAAATGTACTTATCTGGGGCCTTCTTGATAAGAGTATCACATGATTCTATAATCTAATAAAAATGAAAAGCCAAAGAGGCTGGTCTTGATTATAAAAAAAAATATATATATGGGGGTAAGTCAATAGAAATCAAGCAAATTGTTTTTATTAAATTTTTTTAAAAACTTTATATACCAATAACTTAACCAAAACTTGATCAAATTTAATAAAAATTTTTTAAACAAATTCTATAAGTTTGTAGAATTTATTTAAAAAAATTTTTATTAAATTTGATTAAGATTTAGTTGAATTATTGTTGTTTAAAGTTTAAAAAAAATTTACTTAGAAAAAATTTGCTTGATTTTTATTGACTCAACCCCATATATATAACTAAGAATTAACTAACTAATAATATATATAATAATAAATAATACTAAGCTAAAAATAACAAATTTTATACAAAATGCTACACTAAAATCTACTTTGTAATATATTCCTCCCTTTAAGATTTTTATTCTATAAAAGTCCTTTAACTTTTGTATTATCTACAAAAATCAATAAGCTAATTAAAATATGTTTTACTCAGTTTACCAATAGTTTTGAGAATAATAGTCTGGATGCGATAAATTTGTTCATATCTAATAGCATTGAATAAGCGATAAGTCCTTTTCTAAGCTCATAGCCAGTTTATTTTAATTTTGTGCTGAGAATAGAAGGTATCAATTAGTAAAGCTCCTAGGTAATAACCATATGCAAGAGCTTACTCCCTGTTGTAATTTTTCTTATTGATAATATTATCATATGCTTCAAGAACCTTTTTGAAACATTGTTCCCACAGGGTAGTTATAGTTGCAGGTACAGTAATAGGATAAATTTCACTAGAGATCGTGGAAATTAATTCAGCCTTAATATATCCAAGTGGATTATAGTTGTTTGCAGGTGCTGCATATAATTAATTTAAATTTAGAATAAAGTTGATACTTGAGGAATCACACAGAATAGTTTTAGTATACTGCAGTTGTTTATTTAAATCCTGCAGTTCACAGGCCTTGTAGTAAAGTTGAGAGGCAATCCAAGAGGGCAAGTTGTTAGAAAGAGATATTTTGTTAGAGAGATTTGGTTGGTTTGTTGTAATTATTAGAAGAAGAGATGTTGGCAGAATTAAAGTGAAGGAAGACAATTTCAAATTCCTTATATATCTGTTAAAAATTTTGTTTACACTTCTTAGTTGAAACTGTGTTATAAAACTATTCAACCCATGCTGTCTTGTTGTATCGCCCATATGCAAAATTCAATCAACACATGCTGTTTTCTTGTGTTCTCTATATGGTAAGTCTTTGTCTTTCAAAAATAGCAAACAAAATTTTGTTTACTAAATTGCAACATAATCATATAGCTCTATTTACTTCCTATTTTGGCTAATAAAGTATACTTTTCTAGAGGTTATAGGGGTTTCTAAAAATAAAAATTTTTACAAAGTTCTATTGATACAAATTCTAAAAACAAAATTTTCTACAATGTTCTATTGATAATAATTCTTTATTTATTTTCTCTTCTTAAAAATGTGAAGTCTCCAAACTTCATATACTAATTTGTCTAAAATTAGCTAATGTTTGTTTAATTGTTTGTCTTTTTTCTATTTTGACAATCATATTGTTGCTTGTGATTGTTTTTCTGTATTTATCGATAATCTTCTAGTCTTAGCTAGTTAAGTTTTTCTGTTATTTAATTCCTTGGTTTTATCCACAATTTTTGGTTCTTATCTTCTTTTGTCTTTTTCTTTTCTTGTTTCTTAAAATTTTTCTAATATCTCATCTCTTTTCTTATAGTTTTATTAAAAACTTGTATTTTTTTGTTGCTTTCTTCTTGTTTATCTTGTTGTTATTTCAAAGATGTGTATACTTGTTTTGGCTGTGCGCTAAGTCTCATCTAATTTAGACATATGGTGCTTGACCAGTCTTCTACTCTAGTGTGCTATATAGTTGGCCCAGATAGATATTTTCCCCTTTGTTTTTCCTCTTTTCCGTTTTGCTACCCATGGTGAATTGTAAAACGTATAAAAAAAATCTTTAATCAATCATGTAATGATCTACAAAATCGGGCACTCTGAACATTTCTAAAAATTCATGGTTTGGGTCCGGGTTCAGCCGAACCTGGACCAGACCGAACCTGAACCTCGGAGCCCTAAAGCTGACCTATTAAACACTTTTTTTCACTACCTCTCCTTGTAATTCAAAAAAGATTACTGAAAGATTGGCATACATCCTCAAATCCCATGTGAAAATGGACTAATACTTCGGTGAGAATAATTTTTACAAATGAAAAAATAAATTCATGTGTGCAACGCTAATTATTCATAATGCATACGAAGTTATTTACAAGCCTGATGTGAATGCTTTATTATTTTATTATTAATGAGTTTGCAATAAATTACGCAAAAAAAAACTCATAATAATATTTATAATAAAATCACAAACTTTTAAATTTCTGAATCACGACCTTTTCCTCAACCCTTTCCTTTTCCTTTGGTTACATTCCTTTGTACATTACTATTCACCTTACTAGATGGCTCTTTAGGTAGAAATTCTGAAAAAGTAACAGTTCTAGGCCGGCCTGGTGAAAGCCCAGTAGTATATTTAGACATGTGTTTCATGATACGAAGTTGATCACTTCTTTCGAATTTCTTAAATTGTTTAATTTTCTTGACGATGTTAAATCGTAAACACAATAGTGTTCGAATTAGTCAATGAACATGTTCCAAATTAGTAGCAGAAGTTGGAATAATCAGATTAGGTATCGTAAATAGTGCAAATAGATATAATCCTGGATCGATATAAATAATCTGACCAATCTCAAGCTCATCACCTGCAATAAATAGTATATTATATATGAAATAAAATCATGTATTCATGCTTAAAGATATTTTGAAAATAGCTTACCAAATGCCTGAGCAAGGAAAATTCCTAATGTTTTACAAACGTTCCATATTGGGAGTTCTGTTTTTATTATAAATTTGTTAAGAGCGAAGGCACCTTCACTCATTAATTTGTGTCTATCAGTTCTGAACTTATCAGGATCTAGATCACTTGGATCTCTAGAAACTTCAAGTAGAAACAGCGGGATTTGTTTTAGACGCTCAAAGAATTCAGCTACTCCATCTACTCTATAATCAGTGAGTTGAAAATTCATCTTCATAGAAATGATCCATTCGCAAGAAAAATATTGCACCGAATCAAGAAAACTAAATGTAATGAAAAAAAGATAGGCCAAAATGTGTGATGTCCATGATAGTTCAGTTGTGTTCTTCACAATGCCTTCCATTTTAGTGATAGCATCTAAGTAGCTGAAAATACTTTTAATAATATGTATATCCGAAAATTCGGATTGATTGTAGTCATGCACTGGAATGGGAATGGTGTTTGATAGAAATCGAAGTTTTTTGGCAGTTCCACTCAAATTATGTACTATTTTTTCCATTTCAGAAACAGCTTTATCTTCAATTTTGATATCATTTTTGACAACATTCCATGCATCCTCTTTCATCTCTTTTTCAACATCCTCAGCATCCTTTTCTTCCTCTTTTTTAGCATCAACATCCTCTGCATATTCTTCTAAAGATTCTTCTATAATTTGGTCGAATAGCATCATATATTCACGTGCAGTCTTACTCATGTGATTATTCTCATCCTCTATCAATAGTCTTTCGAACAGCGATTCTAGTTCACAATCATCTAAAAGATTGTGCACTTGATTTAAAATTTCTTTGTCTCTTAAATCTAACACAAAATAATTCGTTTCAGTAATACAAGCATCCCATATGGTTTTTAGTTTATTATAATATGTTGGGAACTTGATTTGTTTGAATGTATTTGATGTTTCGTTCACCAAGTTTAACAAATCTTCCTGAGAGATATGTTCCTCAACCAACTCATTTTTAATCTGTATGCACATCCAAAAGTTAAAAAAAGATTTGAAAGTAATTCATATGTACTAATTATCATTTGCAGATTGTTATTTATGTATTTACACTCTTAGAAGCAACTGTCTCTTGTGGTCGCTTGAAGATTGGAACTTCAACATTTATCGAATCTTCACTAATAACAAGCTTTTCGACAGCCGAATTTAATGAAGTCTATTATGAGATAAAGGCTTATTAAATAGCAGACAATAATGAAATATTAAAAGATAGAGATTTCAGGCCTTAACTAATGGCAGCTCCTGGTAATACAGATTAAGCTTATCAGGTTCAAAAACAAAATTTGCATCTTGCTCATTTTTATTAAGTGAAGGTGCATAGTATATCTATCTTGATATTGCTTCTTTATTGTTTGCTCCTCATCAAAATCAACTTCTCGTCTTTTTCTTGAAATATAATAAGAAGATAATTCTCCCTAGGTAATATAACAAAGAAATATGGGTTTAAAGTTAGCAATTAAACTTGGAACGAACAGAATAAAACATTAATCTTATATTTTCATCAAATTCAGCAGACGTTGTTATATAATAAGAGGCTAATCTTGATGTATGTAATTTACCAAACTTTTGTAGTAGTTCGGAACTATACTTATTAAGAGACATCTCGAGATTTCGTTGATTTCGCCTCTACAATGATAAATTAATATTTTCAAATATATATACAGGGCCATATTATGCAAAACCGCAAATACTTACTGCCTCAAGCTCTTTGTCCAATTCCGCAAAAAACTCAATAATTTCCTTTCTTTCAAAAGTATCACTGATATTATCTAACAATTTTTTAAACCGTTTCTTCATTCCAGATTGTATAATAGATGAATCAATAGCATTCTCAAGCATTCTTTTAAGCGCATCCTGGATTTCTTGTTTGCTATCTGATGTGAATACCAATTTATCTTTCAGATAATTAAGGAAGTTTAAAATACTCAAGTTTTTAGGATTAGAATTGTACACGTAGGTATTCACGTAATGATCAAACTCTATGGCACTGTAGTGATAGTAAACAACATAATTTCAATAGAATAATCTTTTGAACTTTTACAATAAAACAGAAGTTCTAATGACAATATATATTCTGAAATAGAGGCCCAGGCTGAGGCACTAAGAGCCATTACAAACGCGTAACAAGTCATAGCGATTTACCTACAGCACTCTAATCCAAACATCGGCCAAAGGGCTGAACTATATGGGCGTAGGATAATATATTGTCGGTATACTGGAATAGAGGCCCAGGCTGAGGCACTAAGAGCTATTACAAATGCGTAACAAGTCATAGCGATTTATTCACAGCACTCTAATCCAAACATCGGCCAAAGGGCTGAACCATATGGATGTAGGATACCATTAACACATCTTTCCTTGGTAGAAACCTACTTAAACTTGTTCAGCTTTGGTAAAAGTTAGGAGGAATGTCTTCTTGAATAAACAACAGCATGATAGAAATTGGCTTTTATTGGTGAATCCACTGATCGACAAAACATCTTATAACATAACAAAATTCTGATTGGCTAATTAGACAAAGCAAATTATTTTATTTTTTTAATGTGATAAAATAATGAGATTTTTTGGGTTTAAAACAGTTTGTTAATAAAGATTGATTTTATATCTGAGATACGAAATTAAAGTTCAAGTACGATTGATATGTGCCTTCATCTTTTGATATTCCATGATATTGTAAAATGTGGGTTTTTTAGATCCAATCTCTGAATGTGCGATTACTCCCTTATGAGTTCTTCAAAGCTATTTCTTGATTCATGAAATAATTTCAGTGCAATAGTTACATTCATTTCTCATTTTCGATCAAACCAAGTAGCAGAATATACTGTTGCAAATCCACTCTTTTCTATCTCTTCGATATTTTTAAATTCATCATGAGGTATCCATGATAATTGATATTCATTTTTGATTAACACCCTTTTCATATCATTATCAATAGTGCAGTTGCATGCACCCAATCATTTGTAACTTGTGTTATATTATTTTCTATTTAATACCAATAACCTGCTTTTGAATGTCTATGGCTGTCCCAATCCCATTTCGATTACAATCACCAAGGTGCGATGTTCTGGTGACATCTGCCATTTCAGCAAATTGTTTATAATGTAGAAATGCTTTACGTTTATCCTTTTCAGTTCCACTCCCAAATTGATAACAATAACTGATATTACATATTCCTTTTACATTTCTCGTTTCAATTGATTTTTTGATAATAAACAAATGTAACATCTTCATTCCTTTCAACACTAATTCTGTTACGACAATAATATCTACGATCTTTCATTCCAGTAGCATGCCCCATATCTGCAGGTTTCTGGAAATAAACAAATGCTTTACGTCCATTTTCTCAATTCCGAATTCTTTGAAGTTGCATACACTTCGAAGTAAAATAAAATTCTTCTCGGTAGGTAAGTACTCTAACATGACAGCAACACTTATTGACTATTCGTCATTTTTCTACTGTTCTGCTTATCAAATCTTTCCATATTATTTCAAAACCAGTGTCAAAGGTTTCTATAATCATTGGTCCCTAACGCTCTATATCAATATTTATGCATAATTCACTATATATATATTCATTTCGATTAAGATAGATATATTTGGGATAGTATTCATGTGATAGTTGAGGTTTGCAACTATTGTAACAGTTAATTTTTATGCTTCTAACTTTCGTAGAGCTTTTCTCAAGATCCTTAACCATGAAATAGCAGTCTTTTTTCATCTATTCTCAATAAATATTCTAAGCAATAAATTGACTATATGATTTCCTAACTCAATCGTATCTTCCTGCTGGTTGGGAAGTTTTAAGTAGATCTATTTTCTAACTCTGATACTTAGATGATATAAATCTAGAGACTTTTAAAATCTTCCATATTAAAATAGGTATTAGGGAAATCTGCCTTGACTTCGTATTCGTTTAAAATAAGTTTTTTGTTCTTCCAATACCAGCTCACAAGTGTGCATGAGAATAATGGTTGAATTTTTTGTAGCGAGCAAGACTTTTGTCTTGCCCAGGTTCTTCTGTCATGGTTATAACTGGTCCATGATGTTTTGGTTGACCTCCTGTGTTATAATTTCTTTACGTCACTTGGCAACAAGATAGTGTATTATTAGATATTTCCTCATGTGCCCCTACCACGCGCATAAGAGTCGTAACCATCTATAACTGAGTTACGTCCTACTACAGTACTATAAGAGAAAAGGTTCCTTATATACTCAACACTCGACTCCAAATTAATTACATCATAATTAATCTTATGATTTTAACTTATCTCTTAAATTACATAATTAACATTTAACTTTTCCTCATTTACCGAAGTACATATTTCTTATGCGCATCAATTAATCCTTATCCGCATGATCACTCTGACTGATTTTTGAGATCCAACTTTCATCAGAGAACCGATCCTGACTGTGACATGTAGTCAGTGTTAATTTTATTTAGCAGACTTTATAATGAGTTTTTTTTTTTTTTTATCGATTGCATACAGTGCAGAGGGTCTATTAGAGTATTTTTTTTATTGTTTAAAGATTCGTTTCGTTAATTTTTGATGATGCGGTATATAGGAACCCCCACAGCAAAAGGGTGCAATGGGCTGAAAATTTTAAATTTGTAATTTTATAAAAATTGGAAGCTGATCGTTCTAATTCTTCAAAAAATTGAGTTTAGAAAAAAAATTTTTTTTTGGCTCATTGACTCTTTTGCTGTGGGGTTCCCATATATGTTGTGCCTCAGACTGATGCACCTCAGATGCAGATGATCGAAGCGGAGGATTCATACTCTCTATGCGCTTTGATGATTGAAATTACGATTTTGATGCATCTATAATAAAAACATCAAAAAAGTAGTTTCGGCATTTTCCGTCTGTAATGCCGCGTGTCTATATTTGTACATAGTATAAAAAAATTATGCGCAAGATGACAATAATGAGCTCTGGACTTAAACCGGTTTCCGGTTCCTAGCATGTATAAAACAAAGGTTGCATTGCATCGTTACTGAGTAATCATTGATTACAATTTAGATAAGCAATAAACAGTCTTATTTTTATAATTTTAACATTTAATATTCTCTATCAATTGACTTATTTATATTTTCAGTAGGTATATACAAAAGAGAAGTAATTCATTTTAACATATAAAGTATTATTATTATTTAATTAGAGCATGATTCACTGACAATACTATTCATCAACAAGTTTTTTTATAAATTACACTAATCTTAACTCTAATTCTAACCTGATCCTAACGGCAATGACCAAGATTACTTTGTCAGTGAAATGACTCGTACTGTCGATGAACCCGAGCACGAGTTTATAGCATTCAGATATATTATTATATGTGCATTAATAAAAACACAAAATATTGTGGTCGAATGGTTAAGTAAATAAAATAACATAGCATGTATGTTTTTGCTAAATATTCTAGTTGGTTAATAAACACAGGTATAAAATTTTATTTTGATTATTATTTTAACTTTTTATAAATTGAATTAATTGATTATCAATAAAAACCAAACAAATATTTTTTAATATTTTTTTTTTTTTTTTTTTTTTTTTTTTAGATTAGCCTCTTCGGCTTATCACTTTTATTAGATATTAGGATCATGTGGTGCTCTTATCAAAGGGACCCCAGACAAGTACATTCTGACGAAGATACATTCTAGCTATATCTGCACCTTTTGAGTGCCTAATTAAGTATACTAC